TTCAGCAGAGATAGCATGGGGAGGGAACCCACACACACACACACACACGTCTTTGTATATTCCCTGCTTGTAAGAATACTGAACCTTTGAAAGCTATTTTTCCCTCTTTTACAGAACTTGCTTGAAATATGTTAGGAAAATTGCTTTTAGCACTTCCCTGCAAGATCAAAAATTAATGCAAAATAAACTATATAGCCACTTCTTCAAGTTAAACAAATAAGCATCCAAATCCTTAATGTAAAAGTTAAGATAGATTCAAATAAGTAGCCGTGTTTGTCTGTCTGTAGCTGTAGAAAAGAGCCAGAGTCCAGGAGCACCTTAAAGACTAACAATGTGGCAGGGTATGAGCTTTCATGAGCAGTGACTCACAAAAGCTCATGCCCCGCCACATATCTGGTTAGACTTTAAGGTGCTCCTGGACTCTGGCTCTTCTCTACTGTAAAAGTGAAGGTATCACATTGTTCTACAGTACAGAGCAGGCTAATAAGAAATGAAATATTTGGCAATGTTTGAGCCAGGGAGTCTCATGGCCCCAGATTAGTACATTTAGAAAGGCCATGGTTTCATGAGGCAAAGTCCACTCCGTGACTATGACAAAACGGGCTCTGGCTCACGAAAGCTTGTGCCATAAAAAATACGCTAGTCTTTATTTAAGGGCACTTGTGATTTTGGCTGCAGCAGACTGACATGGCTACTGCTTTGGCATCTGAGCCAGGAACTCTCTGTCCACCAGCAGTATAAACTTAGCTAAACCTAAAGATACTACAGTGACCAAGAGTATGACAGAATACCCCCCCCCAATACCTCATTTTCTGAGGAGCTTGCTGACAGAAGCACCTCTTGCGCGTCAAAGAATTCAGAGACCGATTCTGACATCGAAAGCCTGCTCTCATTAGAAACTTGCTGGGAGAGTGGCAGACTGACATGGATTTGTTCGCCAGCCTGCAAAAGAAAAACCAGACAGAAATACACAGATGCAAATATGATGGCTAAAACCTCACACGCTGCCTGAGGCTTCAGAAACGTGCCCCATCAATGGCTTACTGGATTAAAGGGACTGCCTCTTACATATCCTCTCTCTGTCTTCCGAAGAGCTGTTTGTATAAGAGGCAGCAAAGTTCTCATGAGCTATGTACAGCTAACAGATTGGGAGCCTAGGGTGAAAAGCAGTCATTCTTTAAGATCGCTTCAATTACCTTTTTGAGCTCGTTTCAAATTATACAGATGCCCCCCTCCCTCACCAGGCTGCGAGCAAACCACTTTTCCACAGCATTCAAGCTGCACATTGTGTTTCCTCTGGGAGAACAAGATTCTCCCCTCAGCATTCAAAACCCAAAGCTCCGATAAAAAGAGTATCTATCCTTTTCATGTAACTATCATAGGCAGCTACTGAAGAGAGTGCCAATACCATTTCTGACAAGGGAAATAATCCCATTTTTCCATCCCTATAGCAAAATGCCACTTATACACAGTTGACAAGCTCCTGTGGATGTCCCCAAACTTGTTGAACGTGTGGGCACTTTCAGAAGTCTGAGAACAGGCAGTGGGTGCCAGAACAAAATGGCTGCCTTGGGGGGAAGTTGAATGGGACCAATCACAAAATGGCTTCTGTGAGCACAACCCCAAAACGTTGGAAGTTTCCATAAAAGGTTAACATGTTCCAAGCCAAGTGTCCTCCCGCAATGGAGGCAGCGCTTTCCAAATGGGTGCTTCCTGTGAATAGAAAGGTGATGCCTCTGAAACATTTCCTGCACCAGTGAAGTAAGAGAAGAGAAGAAGAAGAGATTGGATGTATACCCTGCCCTTCACTCAGAGTCTCAGAGCGGCTTACAATCTCCTTTCCCTTCCCCTTCCCACAACAGACACCCTGTGAGGTAGGTGGGGCTGAGAGAGCTCTGAGAGAACTTGTGATTGACCCAAGGTCACGCCAGCAGCTGCATGTGGAGAAGTGGGGAATCAAACCTGGTCATCCCAGATTAGAGTCCACGCGCTCAACCACTACATCAAACTGGCTCCACCAAACACCAAAGTCATGACTGGCTCTGTATTTTGTGGAACAAGCAACTGGGCACTAGAAAACACACTGATGGGTGTAATGGGAGCCATGGTCACTTCACTGGGGATGACTGAGCAACTGGAACAGCACTGGGGCCACAGCAGTGAAGCTCTAAGTTGCTCCAATGACTTGAAAGAAAGAAGTGGGGCGACAGATACCCCCCAAGTCCAAGTGTTCAGGGCACCCAGCCTCTGTAACCCCCAGTAACTTTAAAAACAGCAATTCGATCCACTTACATCAATTTATCCTGAGCAAAAATCCTCCTTCCAGCTCATACTCCATAGAGCTGGATTCAAATGAAAGAAGATGAAACAATTTTTTTCCCCATATTGAAGGGAGCAATCAGCAAAGCACATGCTAATGTTAACTGTGAAATGAAAGGAATACAGCAAAAAGAGGTGGGGAGGGAAAGGCAACCCCCAAACTTTCTAAACAGTAATAGATGGAAAGAAAATACACAGACAATTCAACAGGACATGTAAGCACTGACCTTCCATGTGCTTCTGAGTTTGAAGCATGTGCTTAGTTTGTCTAATTAATGAAAGACAATGAAGGGTTGGCTTCAGTTCAGCATTCCCCAAGGATCAAGGACCTTTGGCCACAGAGTGCAAATTGACCAGCCCCCCACCCCCCATGGCAGCCTGAAGTAGCCTCCTGCAATCCTGCCCCTGGGGGAGAGGGGACTCCCAAGAACAGGGTTTCAGGCTGCCTCGAAAAACAGGAGCTGAGCTAGTTGTGACCTTGCATGAGCGGAAATGGTGCACTGGAACCAACCCTGACTCTTCTGCATGAAGGCACTCCATAAAAGCTAACTACGGGCTAAGTGAGGATAAAGAAGACCAACCCCTTCAAAAGTTTACTGCTGGTTCTGAGTTAGTTATTTGGGGAGATAATTTTAATTTCAATAGGCAAGGCTGTGAATTGTGTAACAGATATTCTCAGAAGGCTGCGACACAGACTAAAATGTTTCCCTTCCATATTTCAAAATCCACAGCATAGGGTCCTCCACAACATGTCCGTTTCATACAAACACCTTACGGTCTGATTAGATGATAAGGTAAACATGAGTTAGGTTGGGAAGAACCCCAGCTTGAAATTTGGGGGGGGTGGGTGTGGCTCCTGAGTGTGGCAACTGGAGGGGCTTCAGAATATCCTCCCTTCCACCCCACACACTTTTGTTAGAAAAAATAGCCATGGGGGTCAGCTGTTTGTCCTTCTGCTGGTTCCACATGCCTCCTGGGCAGACACTTGGAACTGGCAGCAGGGTGAACACGCTGCCCCCCATGGCCAATTTTTTTTCTAACAGAAGTGCATGAGGTGAAGGGGAGGGGATACTGAAGCCCCTCCTGCTGCCGTGTTATGCCCGGGTGCTGATTTGGCTCCCCCACACTTTTTTTTAATGTGAGACCCAGATCACACATGAAACACCCAACTCACATTTCACGCATTGTCTAATCAGGCCTTTAGACTAATTCCTATTCTTTGAATGCACACACCAAACCCTCCACTTCTCAAGAGATGTGAAATATTTTCAGGGGAAATCTCACAGGAACCACAGCTCATTTACTTTTATGAGTGGAAGTAGAAAATGATCTCAAATGAGTTCGACCCCACCACTTGCCAGCTTTTGTCAAACAGAATGATTTAGTCATTAGTGGTAATTAGCAGGATTTGACTGTTATTAATCCGTTAGAGCAATGCCAAAGTCTTACCTCATCAGGACTAGGGATAATATTTACACTGACAACCTGATCACAAATAACAGACTCTGAATGTATTCTGTTCAAGCGACTCCTTAGTTCAGCATTCTGGTTGAGAGCCTTAAAATAACAAAAATTGGATAATTTAATTTCAAAGGCACGAGACAGCACGAAACAGAGTCACACCATTGCTGCGGCTTATATCCTGGTCAGAACCATTTTGTAATTAAGCAGAGTACTATGAACTGTACTTTGTGGTGATAAACACCTTTTTTAGTCCTTTCTGACCAATAGGGACCTGTCCAGAAGTTTTCTTTGGGAATATTTATACTACACATTCATAATCTGTTTGAACTAGTTTAAAAATTATCGCTTACTCCTAAGGATTCAGTGTTTGGTGAAGATGCTGAGAATTCTGTTAAGAGATCTACAGCACACCTCAACTACTTTAATGTCAGGGCCAAACTAGAAGTAATAATGAAGATGTATCAGCAGACTCGACTTAAAAAAAAACAACCCTGAAACTCTGACAAGTAACTATGTTTGGAAGAGGAGTAGCAGAGGGTACAAGATGCTTAATCCTTTTTTCCTATGAGAATGACATGCATTCCGGCTGTTTTCCCTCCCCGGGAGAAAAGATAAAGTGTCCCCGTTATCTTTTCACCTGTGGCTAGCAGTGCAGAGGGTGATTTTGAGCATAAAAACTGTACAGGGGAAGGGTTAAGCATACAGGCACACACTGATGCGCCAATCAAATACACAACCCTCTCCCTAACTGCATTTCAGTTTTAAAAAATGCTGAGAAACAACTTGGACATCTTCCAGATCTTGCCTAGTTAGATCCTAAGACAATAATCCTATATACATTTATTCATGTTTACCCAGCAAGGCCTCTCTAATCCTTTGTGCAGTTCACAGGCCACCAACTATATTAATATACTGATGGATTATGACCATTAATAGATCAAGACCATACTATTGTTATTGTCAATAGTACTATCATTCCATAGTGTTGGCTCTTGTGGAGGAATGAAAAAATACACTTTATACCGCCCAATTAATCATCAGAAGGCAGGGAGAAATGAAAAAGCAACAATTAGCACATATTGGCTTGGATCCCACTGAAAATCTCTGATGACTGAAAGACAGTAACATTTCTCCACCTTCCCACCTGCTGAAGCCCCAACTGCCCCCTGAAGTGCTAGTCCTGGGGCACAGAGGACCCCACAGGAAGAGCATGAAGGGGGAGTCGGATATCTGCTGTGAGAGCGGGAAATCTGCAAAAAACCCTCCCCCTTGCACACAAAGAAAGGACCAACGGGATCCAACCCATTATGCTGTCTGATTATTCAATTTTTTTAAACAGGCAAGCTTAATGTATTAGACACCAATTCCCATTCTACATCAGCAGAAGACATACCAGCTTAACCAAGACAGCATTCTGCATGCTAACTTAAATATTCTTTTCTAGTTGCAAAAACAGTGCACTAACAAGTGAGAAAGCCAGAAAGGGAATGATGGGATTTTAGCAAGCAGTACCGAAGGTTCAAGAAACTGAGAAAGATGAGGAAGGAATTAAAAAATGATTTGAGCTGCAAATTAGAAGTTTCTTTTCAGACTACCCTCTTGTCTCAGAGACTGTTTAGCAGATCCTGTTTTCACCTTTTACGTTCCTCTACAAAAAGGATCTCAATGTAAGAAGCGAAAGTCAAGAATTTCCAATGATCTGATAGATAAACAAGGTGGCAAATGTCATGGTTTCATCACCTATTGATGAAAGGAACATACTTGGCTCCAACACAGTTGTAACAAGTATGCAACATTTTCGTATCAAGAAACAGTTACAAGTCTCTGGAGCAGGGCAGATCAGCTTCTTTAAAAACAAGAGTATCTAGAGAATCTCCCCCACCCCACCCATACACACAAAGTGCACTTACAAAAACAACACAGAAACAAGAGACAGGAGGATCATATGCTAAATTTTAGCATATATATGAAACATGAACAACTTTTTCCATCTGTTTTTTTTCCCTCACAAAAAGAAAGATTTGTACTTAGCACAAAACTAAGCACAACTCACGATTTTAGGTAACAAACAAGGAGGACAAATCACTGTACATGAAGTAGATGAGCACACGATTATGAAACAGAGGCATAACAACAGACTATCATTAACCGTCCAACTGATGCTATAGCTAAACATTTCCATGACGGAAGTTCTATAGCTAAGAATAGGAAGGAAAGCAACAATGTCCTTGACAATTTAGTTTAATTCAATCTGGTCAGCTGTTTGGAAAATCCTGAATCTACGTATGGTTACAGATGCTGTTTACATGTTGGCAAAACTGGGTAACTAACAGGTTGGACAATGCGATCTTGTCTGCCTCAGACATTAGAGGAGGAAAGGAGACTCGTGGGCAAAGATCTTGTTGTAAGTTGCTCTGAGAACCCTGGATGGCACAAAGCTACAGCAGAAGGCAAGACACAAAGAGCAAGGATGTGTGATTTCCCTCTCCTTAGCATCTTGCCAGGTAAGGAACGCAGTCTGTTGGTCTGGTGGAGACTGGGCTGCATGCTAATGAAGTTACATGTACTTCATGAAGTCAAGTGAGTTCCCGAGCCTGCAGGCAAGACCCCACTTTGTTACATCCAGGAGCACCCACACTTGAATGAGGCTGTTGATTTCTCATAATGTTGGATATCCTGGACCACAAAACCAGCCAGGTAAACAATTTGCATTGTTCACCTTACAATTATGTGAACAACACAAAGAAAGGAGCTAGAAAATGGGGCTGTTATTCTCAATCCATCGCTCACGTTAAAGTTTCTATCCTACTTTTTGCTGATGATGCAATTCTCCTATCAAGAGCATCAGGACGGTCCTCTCTGATAGGGGCTTTTGTCTATTACTGTCTGGAAGAATGCCTGATAGTTAACTATCAAAAATCCATATTATCTGTTGTTTCTTTTATTCATCTGGGCCTCAGTATAATCCAGCCACCATCAAACTGTTTAACGCTAAGGTGGTCGCGCAAAGTTTATATGAGGCTGGTATCTGGATTGATAAAATAGGGGAGTCCTTGGATTCAATTCTCCTTAAATTCCTACATTCTATCTGTGGAATTCCAAATTGGGTCCCCAGGGTGGCTCTCCAAGCTGAATTGGGACAACCATCACTTGAAGGCTTGGATGAAGGCTTTTCCCCTTAAATTAAAATTATACACTCCGACACTCAAGAGGGCTACCTCGAATCAGTCAGAGACGATTCTTATGGTTCCCATTGGGATAAACTGGTCAAACAATGACTACAGCTCCTCAATCTTTCCTTGGACTCCCTTTATTCAGTTACCAGACAGTTACCAGCCATGAGAACAATTAAGAAACATCTATTTAAGTATGATTATAACAGTACAATCTATGGAGCACAACATGTTTGTTCCACTCAATTTGCTGGTATTCATCCACCTGGAGAGCTTCCTGATTGCTGCTTGTATTTGACTGTTCCTTGCTATAGGTGAGCCTTAATGCCTTATCATCTAGGTATTTTAAGATTAGTGCTTGGGGAGGAGCTGTCCCAGTGGCACCCACTTAAATGTGGTGTGCTGCAGGGAGCAATCTTCTCCTCTATACACACCCCATCGCCTAGCTGGTCCGGAGGGTATGGACTGGGTTACCATCAATATGCTGATGATACCCAGCTCTATCTGTTGATGGAGGTGTTAGCCAGGGTTCTAGAGACCGTGGCACACTGGCTGAAGCTGAAACTCAATCCAACGAAGAGGGAGATCCTGTACCTGGGTCGTGGTGATCTGGGACTGAGAATCCAGCTCCCAACCCTCAAGAGGGAGACTCTGGTACCAGCAAGGCCAGCTCCAGGTTTTCTTGTACACTAGGCAAAGCTACCTTCTGGCGCCCCCCCTGCGCCCACCAATTAGGGATTGCCAATCTCCAGGTGGGGCCTGGAGAGAAGGAAGACTCGTGTGCGGGGAGTCCAGGACTGGTGTTGGGTGGAGTCTCCCTTTTTATTTTTTTTCTAAACTCACGTCCCATCCCCCCCCCATCATCATCATCATTATTTCAGGATCCACCTCCGGCTTCTGGGAAACCTGCTGAGCGGTTCTCTCTATCTCTCTGTCTCTCTCCCCACCTCCCGGATGGACAAAGCTTTGGAGCGCACCTGGGGGTGGGGTCGGGAGGCTGCGAAGAGGAGCCCCGAAACCGGTGCCTGCTAGAACCGACTGCTCCGTGTGTTATGACTTATTGCTGGGAAGAAAGTGGAAGGCGTTTCTCAGAGGAACTTACCTTCTAGTTAGGACAACAGCAAGCCCCCCCCCCGCCCCCGCCGAGAGCCTCTCCGAGGCCAAAGACCTCCTGCCACTCCCCACGACAATGACAGCTGTGTCTTTACGCCCCCCCTCCCAACACACACACACCCTGAGGAGCTGCTCTAGACCCCTCATCTGGAGTCCTGCGCGCTGGAGGGAGGGAGGTGAGCGGCGGGAGGCGACCCGCGAGCAAGGAAGGCAACAAAGCGGAGGCTGGGCTGCACGCCCGCCTGCCGACAAAGACGACACTGGCGGAGGACACTGGAGGGGGAGGGGGACGGACACCCACTTGCTGGCTGGCTCGCAGGCAGGAAGGAGGAGAGGTGGCGAGGCGTGGCGCTGGCCAGGCGGCTCCGGGCACAGAGAGGGGGGTGGGGGGCACTCACTCTCCTCCTGCAGGCTGCAGCTGGCATAGTCAGACTATGAGGAGGAGGAGAACCACGTGGCGCTGCCAGCCAGCTTCACTCCCGTGGCGGCGCTGTTGCCTCGCCCCGCCCACGGCTCAAATTCCCCAATCGGAGGTCGCCCAAGCAGACTTCTCCTGCTGCAGAGGTGGTTCCTTTTCCCTCTGCAGAGCGACCCTGGACAGGCCGGGAGGTGAGCCCGCCCCCTCCCCGGGACACAGAATGGGCACCCCGGGGGGGGGGGAGAAAGTGAGGGCAGTGGGGGCTTTTGGGGGCGGTTGGGCGCCCTTAAGGCCCCCCACGCTCTAGGCGAAAATCTAGTTCGCCTAGCAGGTGGGCCGGCCCTGGGTACCAGCACCGAAGGTGAAGAGTCTAGGGGTTATCTTGGATCCCTCCCTTTCTATGGAGGCCAGGGTTGCCACTGTTGTTAGATCAGCCTTCTATCATCTTCGACTGGTCAAACAATTGGTTCCCTATCTCAGTTTCCAGGACCTAGCTACAGTGATCCATGCTATGGTCACTTCCAGGCTTGATTATTGTAACTTGCTCTATGTGGGGCTGCCCCTGACCTTGACCTGGAAACTGCAGCTGGTGCAGATCGCAGCGGCATGCGTGCTGACGGCAATGTCTGTGTGGGCACACATTCAGCCGGTGCTCCGCCAACTGCACTGACTGCCTATAGAGTACCGGATCCAGTTCAAGGTTCTAGTGCTGACATTCAAAGCCCTGCACAGGCAGGGACCTCCATATCTCAGGGACCATCTCTCCCTGTATGTGTCCTGCAGAGCCTTGTGCTCAACTGATCAACATCTTCTGGTTGTCCGTGGCCCGAAGGATGTCTGGCTACCCTCAACTAGGGCCAGGGACTTTTCTGTCCTGGCCCCAGCCCGGTGGAACAAGCTCCCATCTAAGATCGGGGCCCTGAGGGATCTGATACAATTCCACAGGGCCTGCAAATTGGAGCTGTTCCGCCGGGCTTTCAGTTGAGGCAGCACGTGTCCAAATTCCATTCTTGGCCTCCCCTGATGACAGCCCTAGCCTAGTGGTTAGTGTCTTGATACCCCTCAACAGAAGGTTTCCATCCAAGCATTGCTACTGAGGCAACCTCTCCTGGTTTTTCTATGAAATTTTAAATGTTAATTGTTCGAATTTTATATACTGTTTCTTCATCACGATATTTTATGTGACCTTGAAAGCCACCCTGTGCCCGCTCGTGGGGCAGGTGGGATATAAATCAAAGAAATAAAATAAATAAATAAAATAAAATATATACTCTGATAGAGTACATGACTGTGAAGGTCGTGTAGACACCCTGTATCATGTGACCTTTGAATATCATTACTTTTCTTAGCCTAGAAACCTTTTAATTCTTCCCTTGCTCCAAATATAGATCATATCAAGACATCACCTTTTTATTAAAAGATAATAGCAGACCTGTCACTCTTTTAGCTGCAAAATTTTATGTATCTGAGATAGCTTTCTGCAGCCGTTCAAATGGGTTTAGCTTTTATGTTTTAGTATTCTGCTTAGAACTAAGAAGTTAAGAAGGAGTACAAGGCAGAGAGAGACAGTAACTCAAAGCAAGGAGCTAGAAAATGTCCCACATTAGGAAGTGAGAAAAACAGGTTGTATTAATCTTTTACTTCATTAACAAGTTTAGCACAGAAGTAATATATAGGAGATATCTAAACACAAAAAATCAATGAAAACTGAGGTATTCCTTTCTAGTGGCTGGGACAGGACAAAATTAGTAGCCTACATCTAAATAAGTAGCCCAAGCTCACCAGCAGCAGAGCCCCATAAGAACTGTACTCATTTCTGAAATTTTATTCAACGTTTTTTAAAAGGGTCAGAATTTCTTTTACTTTTACCTGCCCTGTGTTTTACCTCTTGTTGTTATATTTAATTGATCCTTTTATAGATTTTATGTTGATTTTAGTTCTCTCGGTTTCTATGCTATTTTATTGTCATTTGCTGTCTTTTAAGTTGTTTTATGATTTAATGCATTTGATTTAATGCTATAATTTTATACTTATAAAATATAAATAAAATATTTAAATTATAACAATTAAAATAAATATAATTATATAATTATAGATTGGTTGCTTTTAATTTTATATACTTTAAATTTGCTATAAGCTGCCAGGGTGATCAATAAATGTAGTAATCAAATGTTTATTATGGAAATTTTCAAAATCAGATTGCACACATGTAAGGCATACCTGAGAAAGGGATTGTCTGAGACGCGTGAGCTGCGTGTTGTGTCCTGTGAAATCTTGTTCCGAAACCATCTGCTTAAGTTTCTCCTTCTCTATCGCTATGCTGTTGAAGGCAGACTTCAGAAGAGAGTGCACTGGAAAGAAATAAGAAATGCCTTTGCTTATACATTCATCATCATCATCACAACCTTTATTGGCTTATACATTCATAGCACTTTGCATGCTGTTCAGGAGACAACTGCCAGCTTGAGATTTCAAGACTATATGAAAGAGCTGGCTCAGCATTGCAGCTAGGAAACCAAAAAACCCTGGTTCAAATCCCACCTTGGCCATGAGCTCACTATGTAGTCTTTGACAACCCTCCACCCACCCTGTTCTAATAATAATGACCTTCTTAAACATAAGATAATAGCATTTCAGATTATAATGATTACAGATGAAAATAACTGTGATGAAGAATTTCCAAATTTTGCCTTACGCCTTTTGAGCACCCACAATTAGGACTACCATGGGTACATGACAATATTGAGTATACCTGCTAGAATTTTTGTACTCACTCATGGCAAAAATGTACACAACCCCTTTAACAAAGGGAAGCTACAGACCTATTACTTCTGACAGACTCTGTCTCTGACTTCTCTCTTCAACAAAAGACTAATAAGTATGACTGTCCCTGAAATGCTGCATTAATAAGGAGAGGTTACTTTGATCTTCAAACAGCCCCTTTGATTAGGCAACGTTTTGCAAGGAAAGCAATCAGTGGGAGGTTTTCCCTATGGCATGTTCATTAAATATTTTTGGCTACAGAGGCAGACAAGGTAAGCTGCGTAAAACTGCCCGCATGTCACATTTCTTTTCTATGTAAACGAGTAGCTGCTTTATGGCTGACAAAACCCATACTGTCCAGCCCTGCTTCTGTGGCTAGAAAACCATCACTAAACAATGGTTTATTTTTCTGACTCTCTGTAGTTGGGGGGCACCTCTGGGCTTGGCCGCACTGCAAGCGGCCACATCCGGGCAGCCCGACAGAGCTGCATCTCTGGGGTGGGACCAGAGGCCATGCGGGGGTCCTCTCCTCAGCTCTGGTTGCGCCACAGCCTTCTTCCACATAGCTGGCAGGGCTGCACCTCAGTGGGGCTACCAGAAATCAGGTGTGGGGCCTGCCAGCAGTTCCAGACCATCTGCTGCAGTCAGGATGGCTGCCCAGGCCACACCTGCCAAGGCAGACAGTAACCCCGGAAGGCCAGGCAGGGAGGGGTACGAGAGCATTGCAAGCCACAAAAGGGGGCCTTGGGAGGCCCCAGGCTTGGACAGGAGGAAAAAGGAGAAACTTCCTGGGACTCAATAATCCCACGAGGTAGATCCAGGGGAGGGGCTCGCAGGGGCTGTGAGTAGCTATTTAAGCTCCCTCAGTGCAGTGCCAAGTTGGATTTGCTCTTCTCTTCAGGTCAGCTACCCAGACAGAATTAAGAGAGTGACCTGACAGGAAGAGGAGGATCCCAGTAAAGCAACCCCCTCCTCTCCATCTCTGAGGTGCCTGCATGGCAGAGAAAGAAACTACAACTCCCTTCAGTGAAGTGGAAGAGGAGACAACCGAGGGGGGCCAAGCTCCTTCCCATCAGTACCTCAGCCATGGAACTTTTGGCAGCTTTCACGCCGTACTGCCAGCACCAAGCCATGCCCTCACAGTGATGCTGGATGAGAGGCCTTAAAGGTTCCATCGAAGGCCGCAAGTGGTGAACGACTCCCTTCTTACCCCTGACAATATGTTTCATGTTCCCACCTACAGCACCTGCAGAGCTTCCTGGAATGGGACAGGGTCTAGCGCCCAGCACAACATCAAACTATAGTTTTTGCTTTAAAAAAAAAAAAAGAAGTCACTAATGGGCCAAGTGCACGGAGGGAGAAGGAAGCATGTGAACAGGGAACTCATTCACGCAGTACAAAGCCACACTTCTTTCATTCTGCAGAATGTGTAAAATGGAATTGGTCGAGGGCATTTTTGTAAAACAAACATTGTTCTCCAGTTTGTAATCATACTTTACTATATGTACTAGACAGTTTTCTGTTGTAATCCAGTGTTTTTATAATGCAGTGTTCTTGTCTATATCACACTGTTTCCAGTTCATTGTTTCTTGCTGAAACTCACAGCACAGTTAGAAAGGCAGACTACAAATGAAATGAGCAAATAAATAAATATTATGTTGGTTCTAATGGGTAAAGCTTTCCCATTACAGATAAAGAAGTGGGGAACCCACAAGGACTTGCAGGGGGCATCTCATTTCCCCACCCCCCACTATTTTATCTTTTCCTTTCCTGAAAGCCCCAATAGCCTCTCCTCTTTTCCTGCTTCCTTCTCTTCTTTCCACACACCAGCCAACCTAGCTTCAATCTGCCCCCCCTCTTCAGTTATATTTATGATTTACTTACTTCATTTATACCCCACCTTTCTGCAAACTGCGGACCCAAAGCAACATATGTGATTCTCCTCCATTTTACCCTCACAACAACCTTGAGGTAAGTTAGGCGGAATGTGTGTGACTGGCTCAAACACACCTAGACTAGTAAGCGTCCACTCCTAGTGGGGTGGCTACTGTTGAGCAGTAGCAAGCAGCCAGGCCTGAGTGAGTCATGAAAGTAAGATCCTAGCAAGTTGACCGATGGTTGCTGCCCTGCTGGGCCCCAATGGGTCCTCCTCAGAGGCCAGAACAGCCCCAGAAAGGGCCTTCCCCCTGTCTTTTATTGACAGAAACCAAGGCTAGAATTGACGGGCACTACTGCTGTAGTTACCAATGTAACCGTCACTGAGAGCATTTGTTTCTTAAAGCTGCAGGCATTCTTTTTACCATTTTATGGTGATTTTAACCCCCCAAATGGGACAGAGGACAGGTAATAGCGATGCATTGTAAAAAATGGCTCACAAACTTACTTGGATAGACGATTAGGGACTGTGGTCTACACTGCTGTGTATAGCTTATTGTAAGTATGACCCTATTTTGTGGGTTTTTTACCCCTTCAAGTGTCATGTGAATACGTATGCTATACTTCGCTTCTTTCTGGTTGGTTCTAGACTTCAGCAAACCTAATGCACTGTTTACTGAATATCCAATTTTGTTGATTGTAGTGACTCACTATGTGCAACCCGCCTTGAGTCCCTGTGAGAAAGGAGGACTATAAATAATGCAAATCAAACCAAATAAATAAATGAAATTTAAGTATCCTCAAATTTGGCTGGAAGTAGGGATCCACAACAAAATGTTGATGATTGTGTTGAGGTTTATTTTCTTATTCTAAATGGTGATGTGCTCGTTGGGGTGGGGGATGCTCCCACCCCACTGGCTCTGTCAATCCCCACTGCTCTGGGAATCCTCTCTCCCACCTGCCGTGGCCACTCAGCTGCCTGCTCCCTTCCCTGACTCTACCACAATATCCACTCCTCCTTGCTCAACTGCGTGCCTGCAGCGATGTTGCTTCTATCTTGGTGCTCGACCACTGAGGAGAGTGTCGGGGGAGCAGTCCCGGTGACACCACTGAAGGCAGGTAGCTGGGTGCTCACCTGGCCACTTCCAGTGGCGTTGCCTGAGCCGAAACTGAGGAGACAGCATTGCAGGCAGGAGCTGAGGGAGGAGGCTTCTTCTCACTCACCAACACCCCTCCAGCGGCGCTGCTTGAGCTGTCCTCCCTGACTCTTCTCTCTCCTCAACTACATTAGTGGCAACAGCTTCCCCAGGCACCTGGCCACTTTGCAGCCTCAACAACAGCAGCTGCAATGACTCTGCACAGCTGCCCACCTGACAGATTTGCTGACTCAACAGCAGCAGAGGAGGATACTTGCTTGCAGTGAGGAGGGTGGGTGCACCCCAGGCAGTAGAGATGCACTGTATGTGCAAATACAGACGCTGGTCCTCTGTTTGGGGGGGGGGATTTACAACTCTCACCCATTTTTAAAAGGATTCAGACATTTCTGCAAGCCTGGGGAGGAACAACTTTATTGAAAAATCTTACTTCTGGGTAAATGGCCCCAAACTGTGGATTTAAGTATCTGCAGAGCAGGGGGTACTTCACTATTAGATATAAGATGATGTTTCAGAAGGAGATTACCATCGTCGTCTTCTTCCTTCACTGCTCATATTCTGTTCAAGAGCAGCACTGAAAAAAAGTTCCTGCCTGTTTTTCGAAAACGTCAGGATATAATCCTCATATTTCTGGTAAACCTGGAGGTGGCTCTAAGACATGCCGAGCCTGGCTGTTTGAAGGATGACTGGTACTATGAGAAGCTGTTTCTGCTCCGCTGTTCAAGTGTGTCAGCATGCTACACTGTACCCACACTTCTTAGCAGGAGGCAATTTTAAAAAGTGTTTATTGCTGTGTAATAAATTAAATGGAACTGTGTCATAATGGGCTGAAGTGCAATGGAATTTATCCTTTCAATCTGACACAAAAACTGTAAGAGCTGGCAAGTTTCTCATACATTTTGGAAAGCTTCAGAAACCCACTGACTATATTCATACCTGGCATGTGCCAATCAAGTGGAAAAAACACATGCAATCTCCCTTGACCCACACAGTTCCGGCATTCAAAAACAAACCCAAAGCCCTGTGGGATAAGCACCATGGGATACGCAGCTCCCACACGGCCTCTGAGCGTGTCGATAAAGTATTTTAAACACAACGGTTCTTTTTTAGGAACCAGGGAAAAAAAAGAAAAAGGAATCCTCAGTAATTGCGCCCCATTCAATCTCTTCTTTTCCTTCCTCTGCCAACGAAACAAGGCAACACACAAACCACATGCACACACAGCTCTAGGCAAAACTCAATGCATTGAAGGTAATTTTTGGTGGGATGCAGTTTGTATACTTGTAATTACCTTTCTGTGCCATGAGACAAAACTCTTCTTGCAGTTTTATGTAGTCCATGGAGCTTTCCAGCGGGTCAGATACATGGCTTGGAGGAGTCTGAAATTCGATGTCTGCACAAAGGTTAGGATTGGAGGAATGCAGGCGAACAGGAGACATTGTAGCACTGAAAGGAACCTAAATTGAGAAGTAACAGATACATGCGACTGCATCTTTCCTCCATGGCACATCAGGAATGTAACAATAAGGCATTTCTCATGTTATCCTGATCCTTAATAGTTGCACGTTCACCAAGACATGGCTATTCCCCCCCCTCCTTTGCAGCAAGAATTCTGCTTATTTTGATGGATCCACCAAAATGAGGCAAACCAATGATGATGCACACTGAACATCAACTTGAGCTGCCCTTAGGGTGTACAAGACCAAAACGGTATCAGTTCACACACATACAGCCATCTAACGGCTCTCTTCCACTAAGCCTTGCCTCTGTTAGAAGAAGAGATACACTGGATCTTCATCATGGTTAATAACATGAGAAACCAAAAGAATCCTGATGTATGGCAAAATGTAATCATATTTTGCATTGGGTGAGAAATTAAATAAGAGGTTTTCAAGTATGAGTATAAAATATGTTCTAGAACCATTCAGAGAAAAGCAGAAAAGTGAAGGTTGGCATTTCATGAGTGAAAATTCTTGTTTAATGTTCAGTCTGGGCTTTCATACTTGTATGAAGAATGTGTGAGTGTGGACAGAGCGTCAAATTGAAAGACACTAGTTCCCCCCCCCATGCAGCTAAACATCTCTGAAGAGAAATCTTTAAGAAAGCACATAAGGAAATCAATTATATCTAATGCATTAGTACATCTACAAATCATACTGCATAAAGCTTTACACTCTCTGTGGAAAGTTCTCTTTTAATTCAAAAGACAGGTTTTACTTTAGTGTACTTATCTACAGAATTCACAGAAAAACACAAAGCTAGGTTATCTCTTGAACTATGTCTCCAACTTGTTATGCTATCTCCACTTCTCCTTCCTTTTTTAAAAAACAGTTTTGCATATACATTAAGTGTAGGGATGTCACCGAATATCATGAACACACTTTCAATTAAAAATCCTATTTTCTAACAGCAGTTGAAATGAAACTGCAGTTTCCTTCTTTTTTAACTGTATAGCAGAATTTAATAAGATTATTACCATTCACATGGACACCTGTTTTTGTCTCAATAGCATATAAATGGTGCCTTAAAGGCCTCAAGTAAACTGGGAAAAACAACAACAAAAATGGGTGAACAAATAAAGAATCACAAGGATAACACGTTGCATATTCGCACATCCCTTCTTAAGTGTATATGAATTTTATATATACATATATTTTACTGAGCGTGTATAGTTTATTGATGTATACATCATATGTATCTAAAATAACTATGTTCATGCACACACACATACATCATACACGTACATATTACTGTTCTACAGCACACATGCAGGCAAGGCAAATGTACACAGCCTTAAGTGATATCTGCAGCCCAACACTCAAGCATTTCTGGTTTAACGCCCTTGCAATCCACTTTTGGCACTCCAATACAGAGTTAAGTGCTGAATTACAATGCTATTCAAATGTGGAATAAATCCATGCTCATTTAAAGGTCAATGACCGAAAAATTAGCACAAAATATATTAACATGCTTCTGAAACATCCTGAACAGCAGCCAACATAAAAAGTCATATTACTCTACACTTTTAAAAGAAAAACAAACTCGATGACCAGAACCAGTGAGAACTGGCTTAAAATAGTGCGTGTGGAAGGTACAACAGTTTTCCTACATTCCTCTCCATTCCAGTTAACTCCCTTTGACCGCTGGAAAGATTTGTGGAACATGTGCAGCCATATAGCCATGCAGGTTTGGGCTGAGCAAGAAGGCAGGAAAAGGAAATGAAATCTCTTCCTCCTCTCCCATCAGTGGAGGGGCACTTGTAGAAGACACAAAAAGAGTAATTTCACCCCTCTCCACCCCACAATGACCTGACTTGCACGGATATTTCTCTGGGAGGTTCTGTGACTGTAAGAATCCGGGATTAGAAGGGGATGTGGGACCAGATAGGAACCGGGGGGGGGGGGATATCAGTGTTCCATGCACTCATTTTTAGATATCAGCCACTATTTGTTTCAGTCCTTTTAGGGACATGGACCCTGTTAACTATACAAGTCAAAGTTTTGACTATCAGCTAAAAATTATTCTGAGAGTAATGATACAACTTTTCACACAATTTTTTCCGACAGCTACCCTTCATGAATTTCTATACCTGAACTAAATTTATACCTGAACTAAAGTTAGATTGAAAAAAGTATTTGTTTAGGTTGCTCAAAACAACAACAAAAATCAGATATGTTTCTTTCCTGAAGGATACGCCTCTATCTCCGCCAGGACAAAGCATACTGTATTCTTATATCTATATATCTAATAGCCAAGTTGCCCCCTCAGTGTGGATATCTAAATCCGCACATTGGGGGCACCTGTGGGGCAGGGAGATTTTCCTGCACACTTGAAGTAGTCTCCAGGTATGCAGAAAAATCTAAAAAGTTGAAAAAAGTATACCCCCAAAAGTAAAAGAGCGTTCCTTGTGCATGCGCAGGGAACGCTCTGGGAACTCAGGGGCGGCTGGCAGCTGGAAGCCACTCAGTCCTCACCATGGGTGGGGGCAGCGGCTGGAAGCCACTCAGGACTTGCTGCCGGAGCCGGGGGAGGGAGGAGCTGGGGGGGAGGGGATTGACAGGCTCAGTGGCTGGAAGCCGCTCAGGCCTCGCCGCCAGAGCCGGGGGGGGACTTACCTATGACCGCTTCCTCCTCAGCCCTGAGGTCCCCCTGCTTCCACAGGAGAGCAGCTGGAGGGAATACCCCCCACGAGTATCGCGGGTCCCTCTTCTTGTATTATCCTAAATGGATGCTACCCTCTTTTAAGCTTAGACTTTTCCTTTTGGAAAACATTCTCACATCTCAAGCTACTCACACAAACTCTATAATGTGCCTTCACTACAGTTACAAAAGTTGAAACCAATAAGCGTATCATTTTACCAAAGCTCCATGCGAGACATTTCAAAGTAGAACCTATATAAAGCTAAACTAATTTTTTTTTACTCAATAATTAAATTAAATTAATAGAATTCACTGGCAGTGGACGTAGTGATGGCCACAAGCACATATGACTTTAAAAGGGGATTACAGATTCATAGATAAATAGGCTCCATCAGTGGCTCCATGATGACTGACGGGAACCTCTACTTCAGAAGCAGCAAATTTCAGAATATCAGTGCAATGAGGCAACACTGGGAAAGGCCTCCATTTCTGTTCCCTCTTTGTTGGCCCTCCGGGGCAACTTGATTGTCCACTGTGTGAAACAGGATGTCGGATTAAGATGGAAGGCTGGTTTGATCCAGCAGGGCTCTTCTTATGTTCAGTTGTCCTTTAAAATGAATTTGGCAAACTCAGCTGTAGAGGAAAGTTCCTTTGATGGTAGCTACCACCCCTCACTGGCATTTGTTCCCTTTGTGCTACCATCAATGAGGCAGGAAGAGACAAGATTTAATGCATTCATGTATTCTATCTTTAGCCCACTCGTGGTTGGGAGAGTTGAAGGAGCGACAGAGGAAAGCCCTTCCACTCCAAACATATTCTACTGTAGTGGCCATTGGCTTCTACAGAAATCCAAAGAGATGCATGGGAGAGCTTCCACAAATGAAATGGAGCCTTTGAATCTCCGTCAAAAGCCTTTTGAAGCAGCCTTGTTGCACAAAGAACTTGTATAAAAATAAAAACAAAGGAAACACCATTGTGTCCACAAAGTTTGTATGCAGAACTAAGAGGCTCTTTGAATCCCAGCCCACATTCATACAATTACCCAAAAAAAGGGGCCTGAATTAATGCAAATATTAAATTATCTGATCTTACTAGTTTTGAGGAAGGGAAGGGGAACAGCCTATCTCCCAGGCTCTCTCTAAGCTGTGGAGTCTTGTGAGCAAAAGTTCTACTTTGTGAGCTACTGGCATTAAAGTTGTGAGCGAGCAATTTGGTTACTACTTACTTCCTGAGCTAAGACAAAAATGTGTGAGCTGGAGGCTAAAAAAAACTGTGAGCTAGCTCACACTAACTCAGTTTAGAGGGAACACTGCCTATGTCTACCACATTAGTGTTTAGAAACAGAAATATTGGGAGAGATTTCTATGACCCAGTGTTTCAACTTTGCTTCCGAGTATTCAGTAAAGACAACTGAATGTAAGGCAGATCATAGACTTTTACACAGATTAAAAAAATACTACAAGAGGGCAAGGCATCCTGACTTCAACTGGCCCTTCTTTGTAACATCCCTCTCACCTTCTGATTTGGATATAAGGGGTGATGGATCTTTATTCAATTTGTATCCGACAAAGTGAACGTTGACCCATGAAAGCTTATACCTGGAAAACTGGGTTGGTTGTTAAGGTGCTACTGGGCTTGAATTTTGTCCTTTAGATAACCACTAATGGGAACGAAGTCTAATCTGTAATCTGCTCTGGAACAAATCCCTGTATTTCAGTCCAATTGTTTAATATTATGCAGAACATCTTCAGTACAGTGTTAGACTAGAGAGCATTAGTTTAATATGGTAATTAGTTTAATATAGTAAGTATGGATCAAAATGGAGGGTGAGATATTTTTTTTGTTTTAAAAAACACTATATTTGGAAAGAAATATGGTAGAGTTGTTTTGTGACAATGTATATATATGAGGAAAATTTCCTTCAATCTCCATTCAGGTGAGGAAGGTGAAAATCGGACTGAAGTGGAACTGAAAGGTTCTTAGAGATCAATCCTTAAGCAGGTCTACTCAGAACTAAGTCCCGTTTAGAATATTATATTGATGTATGAAGGAATGAGTTATGGGCATGCCATGAATGTATGTTTGCCATTCATACTGCAGGGTCTCTCACCTGCAGTACAACCTTTAATAAAACTTTCACTTTTTAAAGCTGAAAGTGAGTTGACTTCAAAAATAAGTCAGAATCCTGTGGCACTTCAAGCACTTCTCTTTCACAGGTATCATTTTCAAGTGCTAGTTTATGGTATTTTTGCCTGAAATTTATTGCTTTTTAAGGTTTCTTTTTTTAAGCTTCGTTTGTAAAGATTTACATGTACTCTTCACTTGGGCCCCCATAATTATTATTTTTTTAATGGTCACTGGTTTGATTGGTATGACATGGAAACATGAGGAGAGTGAAGCCATAAATCTGATATACAAGATGAAGAGCAAGATACTGAAGGTGTAGAAGGACAAGGTATGGGAATATAGATTATTTGTCTTTCCCTTGCCAAGTGCTCCCCCCCCAGTTACAACTGACCTATGGCAACCCTGTGAGGTTTTCAAGGCAAGAAACATTCAGAGGTGGTTTGTCATTGCCTGTCTCTGCATCACAACCCTGGTTTTCTTCGTGGTCTCCCTTCCAAATACTGACCGGGGCTGACCCTGCTTATCTTCTGAGATCTGACAAGATCAGGCTAGCTTGGGAGATCACTATTTGGGAAGGCCAGATTCTATGATCTGGTAAATGTGGTGTAAGCAGGCCCGGTCCCTATTCAAGGTCCCCATTTCTGAGCAGGAAAACATGTTAAAGACTGATGAGAGATTATTTGCTTTTGCTCTCTTTTATCGCTAAATGAGATGATGCATCCTTCTTCTATAGTGACTACAAAGGAGATGGTCATGAAAATTCATAAATCGATGGAAATTAAAGCGAAAAGAGGACATGAGCCATAGCAGGGTAGAACGGTAATTATCTCCTCGGCACAGAGTTGCTAAACATGAAGAATAATGGAGGGATGTTGGAGGAAATGTGCAAGTTTCAGATGAATATTTAGGTATACCCTGTGAGAATTCCAAAGAAATAACCATCAAGACACACCTTAGTAAAACATGCCTCTGAGAAGGCAAAGCATATGTCATTGGGGTGGGAGATCCACATTGCTCAAGTATCTGTGTGGACAGAGGGAGCAAATGTGAGGACAGAGGGAGCAAATGTGAGATATTTTTTTATTATGGGGAGCAGTTATGTGACACAAGCTACAATGTCAGGGTCATGCTGGGATGGGGAAATCTATGTACATCTGTATTCATCCTGCAACATAGCTACATTGGTCTTCATCAGAGGCAAAAACAACACATGGTACAACAGAAAACAGAAGATGCTCCCTAGGCCCTGAGGCGAAGGCACAATACCACAAGTTGCAACTGTGAATTACACTTGTATGATGGTGTTTATAGCACACTGCCAGCTGAAATACCTTTCTCTTCATCAATGTTCAATGTGTGTTGATATACAAAACATGCCCTCTTTCACACATTAACATAGCTATCAGCGTGCTGATTGATATTCTTGGCCATCTGTCACGTCAGTGACATACTGGGGAACCCCTTGCTACTCCGCAGACATTGTAACTTTTTGGCTGCGGTCAGACGTGCCTTTAATTCTGACTCAGTTGCGAATGCCTGGAAGATCTAAACGGCATGATCAGACAGCAACATCTGGGAAAGGTACCACAGCTGTCAGCCCCCCACGCTGCCCGCCATGGAAGTGGAGTTAAAAAACACCGGGGAAAGTCCAGTCCTAATGCTTGCCAACAGGCTATGAATGGACTTTCCCCTGTCTGATTGCTCGCTCTCAAACTGTTCGGATGGTCTGATCATTCCATTTCAACTCTGTGCCTTCTCCCCCCCCCCTTGCTTAACAGTATGTGCATAACCGCATACTCCATGGGAAACCCTCAGTGCGGACGTGCAATTCCTTGTTTATGTGCATGGGAAACAAAAGGCAACCGCCCCCCATCTGACTGGGCAGTGACAGGCTGAGCCCGCAGCTACAAAGGATGTGTGATCGTACAACGCCGTGTCAATTTCCACCATGGGAAATAGGCTTGCTTCCCCTCTGCACCAAATGGCATGCCTGACTGTGGCCCTTTATCATTTGAATTAACTGCATTGTATCATGTGGCTTTATCTCAACATACACCAGTCTATATCTTCTCTCTTCTGAATTTGTAAACAGGTAAATATGTTTTTCAGAAATACCAAATTATAAACTTTCATTTAATTGACTCAGTCCTCTTTCTCCAAAAGTCTGTAACCCTTTTTTAAAAACTTAAAACAGAATTGCTGGTGGTAGTAATATGACTTTTTTGGATTATGAAACAAATAAAACTTAAACAATAATATAAATCGCATGGTGAAATTCATGATTGACTCTATAATCAACTACTTCTCTACCAATTATTTTAAAAAAAACATTTCTAGAGTTACTACAGTACCTTGAAGGAATGGCAGCAGAATCCTAAGCATCTTTTGTCAGAATTTACTCAGTAAGGCTTACTCCCAAAAACCTAAGTATAGGATTGCAAGCCTGGATGATTTATGATCTATGGTATAATTAGAAATATATGCCATAATGATAACAAAAGACTTTGGCTTAGATAAGGGGTCCCCAACCTGGCCTATCCAAGTCAGGGTGCCCCACCAACTTTCTAAAAGCACTTGGAAGGCACCAGGAAAGGTGTGGGTGGGCCCCATGGGCATCATGTTTGGGACCTCTGCCTTAGATGACCCAGAGGTTTTCCATGGGTGGAGAGATGTTTGTTCATGGACAGCAACTTTCTTGCCTTCTCTCTCCCACAGTAGCCTGAAATACCCCTCCCCATGTCCATCGGGGGACCCCCCCCCAGAAACAGGATGTCAGGGGCTATGAGACACGAAAAGGATAAAGCTGCACTCCACAAGTTCATATCCTTCTGCTCATGGAAAATCTCTGAGGGAACTAAGCCTATGGTCTGGTTTTGACATCACTCAATGTGGTTTCACACATCTTTTTCATGTAAAATTCTGTTTTTTTAGAAAACATGCACAGTGCCTCCCATTATGCCTAACTTACACATTTGATTTCTATCCCATCTCTGGAGCCAGAAAAATCCCTAAGACCACTCATAACGACACGATACAAATAATCTGGAACAATATCACCCCCTCAGATATATAACATTACTATGGGGTGACCACCTCATCTAAAATCCCAAGTTGTCACTGGGTTGTTATGACTGTACTGAACCCTTTTCAATCTAGCTCACTCTGTTGAATGTTGGAAATTGTACCACCAGTGGCTTGAATGCGTACTTCTTACTCTTCCAGGACTGCAGGTCTCTGTGCCAGGGCACAGAAATGAGCCCTGTAACACCAGTGGCTTGAATGTGTACTTCTTACTCTTCCAGGACTGCAGGTCTCTGTGCCAGGGCACAGAAATGAGCCACACAAAACCATGACTCTGATGAGACGTTAAATGTTCTATCTACTTAGTACATTTTTATCCTACCCTTCCTCCAAGAAACTTGGAGTGGCATACATGGCTCTTTCCTTCACTCTTGGCAGCTGGACAGGAGCACATGGGAAGGGGCCAACAGGTGTTATTGGGGTAATTGTAATTATTAAAGTTACTGGAGTAATACCCCCACATTGGGAAAAGAATGTTACTTGTCACTGACATCGATCTATCTATAACAGGAGTCCCCAATGGACACCTTTGGAATTCTGACACAGGATTATGGGCACAGTCACAAAATGGCTGCTACAAAATGGCTGCCACAGGAGGAGGAGCCAGCCACAAAATGGCTGCTGTAGCTTACCCTAAGTCACACAGTGAAAATCTTTGTGCTGTGGTGGCAGCTGCTACCAAAGCAACATTTTTAAACATCTGCTCAGCCAATCAAATCTCCAATGGCCAACCAGAAGCCATGCTGGGCAAAAGCCCCACCTGACTTCACCCTCCTTCTAAAAACACCTGGCAAGTGCCAGGAAAAGTGTCAGTGGGCATCATGGGGAACCTAATCTACAATCATGCTACCAGCTATAAATACAATGAACCCTTTTGCGCATCTTCATGAGGAGCACCATGCATGTGAAAAAAGGCATAGAGTTTGGCTCAGAAATTATACAGAAATCCACTCATGCACTTGTGTGAGAAATGTTTTAGGCATGGTCCATAGCTCAATTACAGAGCACATGCTTCACAAGCAAAAGATCCCAGGTTCAATCCCTGTCATTTCCAGTTGAAGGATCTCGAGCATTTGCTCTTGAGAAAGATCTTTCAATCCCTCAGATCCTGGAGAGAGCTACCATTCTAAGCAGACAATACTGAGCTAGATGGACCCATGGCCTGACTCCTGTAAGGCAGCTTCGTATGTTCATAATAATTATACAGAACCATGTTTAAGCACTTCTTAAGCCTCATTCAAGCTAGACTTGAATGTTTAAGCACATGCTTAACTCCCTCACGCTGAATCTCAACCAACTTAAAAAGTCCGGCTAGACCTGTTCTAAAAACACTTTACACACTTATTTGGTTGCACAGCCATAAAACATGTGCAAGGTAGGTGGTCCCTAACCTCACAACATATTTTATCGCACGGCAGAGTTGGCTTGGTGACCTCCGCTCCCCAAAATGCCGTCGCCACACGTTGCCGAAGCGCAGCTCAAGCTCTGAGCATCGGTCGCAGAGACCCCCAATCTTTAAAACTGTAGTGCCTTGACTGTAAATCCACTCACTGTTGTAGCCACGGCTGCTGCTAGTCTCTGTCGACGCCGTGCAGTGCTGAACTGGCCCTTCAGCGCTGTCCCTTCCTGACAGTGAAGGGGAGAAGAACAGGGAAGCGGAGAGAAGGGGAAAAAAGAATGACGGGAGGCAGGAACATGAAAGAAGCTCAGAGAAGGGAGACAGAGGCTATGTAAATGTAACTGCACTAAAGGGCTAATTCACATCACTCCATATGAAGGCTGAAAATACAAGCTGTTTTGATTTGTTTTGCGACTGGATATGCACAAAAGGGGAGCCATCCAGTTGCTCAGCCCGGTACTCCCGTTCCCTGTTCTCCCGTGCTAAGCTGAAGTACATTGTTTACTCATCTTGTCACAGGGCGATTTCTCACTAGAGCTGCCTCGCAGTGCAGCGCCGTTTGCCCCAACACAAACATGTCAATTTCACACCGGAGGCTGCGGGGCTGCATTTGACCCGCAGCTGCGCCCGATTTCCTCCGCAGTTTCATGATCCTCAAAAACCAGGATCACGAAACTGCGGAGGAAATCGGGCGAAGCCACGAGTCAAAATGCAGCCCCGGAGCTTCGGGTGTGAAATTGACAAACGGTGGCTGTACTGCGAGGCAGCTCTAGTGAGAAATCGCCCACAGTCTCACTGGCACTTTGAAGGCACAGGTGAATTCAGACAGCTCTTCTTCAAAGGTGTAAAAAGGAATCTGAATGGACCCAAATTCTTCAGAGTAGAAAGGCACTGGGAGATTTAGAGAGTGTGAGATGTTTTTCTCACAGAAGGAAGTGCAAGGTACTTAACACACATAAGGATTATCTGCTCTATGGCTTTCTTAACGGTACCTGTTACTTCTGAATTACAACCGCCATTTCTGAAACCTGATCATATTATTCAGCATGCAAATGGAGAACAAGATGCTATGGAATGAAAAGACGACAAAAGGAAAACCTAGGCTGTGAACGCCACTGATTTACTTCCCACGTTTCAGCAAGAATCACCTAAAATGCTCTCTTGGAGTTCTGCTGCCATGCTAGTGACAGAAGTTATGCACATGTATGGTGTAAAAGTATTTATGAACGAAGGCTCTCTCTATGTACAGCTTTAACTGTGGCTGCCTCAGGTTTCAGGGCACAATGTTCCTCCAGATTTGTAATTCTCTAAATTCACTGTTTCTGTGTGATATTGAAGGACTGCCTATGAGTTCATTTCCTTTCTAAGTTATTCTGTGCTGCTCTCAAAACAACTTCAAGGAGGGGGAAAAATACTTGTTTCATCACTATTTGCATGCTTCAACCAGCAAAAATGTAAGCATGATTGATAACGGTCCTTCAAGCGTGCCATTTAAAATCCAAAGTGCCACTTGAGAGCGCATTTGGTAAGTAGTTTCCCAAGGTCAGAGCCAACTTGTTTTTATCTTTTGATAGGTATTCCTGAAGGCAACCTCTCATCTTTATATAACCAAGGGCAGCCGTTAATGGGGGATGAAAACATTCCAACCTTCACTCACACATACTTTTCCAGGCCTCATCAGGGTTCTGTCCAACACCAGAAGGAGCAAGTCTCAGGTATTCATATACCCTTATCCTATCCTTATTGCCTTGTTATTTGAATCTGTCCCCCCCACCCCTCAACTACAAGATGGAAATAGATCTTTGCATCTTGCTGGATCAGATGTTACTTTTCACTTGGGAGGAGCAGGAAGAACAGAAGGAACCATACAGGAGCCCAAGACCAATTCCCCGCCCTCGCTCTTCTGTTTCCCCTGCTTGCATTGGTCAATTTCACACTATTTGCTGTGCAGCCACATTTCCCCCGTGTCTTCTCGATCTCAAAAAACAAGGATCGAGAAGACGTGGGGGGAATCGGGGGGAGCTGCGGGTCAAAATGTGGCTCCGTATGTGTGAGTGTGTGTGCACCTTGAAGTCATGGCGGCATCTGGTGACTGACCCCTACTGGGGGCCTGGAGGATATTCAGAGAAGTGACTGCTGGTATTTCAAGGAGGTCTCCCATCCAAGTACTTGCCAGAGATTACCCTGTTTAGCTCCTGAGGTCTGACAAGATCGAGCTTAGCTGGGTTTACGGAGTGGAAGCATGTATGTTTGAAGGGTCCATAAACTGACACATTATTCCACATATCTCCCACACGAAGAAAGGGGGTTCTAGTTTTAAGACTTTTCACTGACAAACAAGTCTCCAAATACATCTTATTCAGTGTTAAACAAAGCAAACTTCAGCAAGTCAGAATGGTTTTAGGAAGATGGCATGGAACTTGGATTAAAAACAGAAAAGTTTATCTGCAGACTATCTGAGTAGCCCTAACTATAACCCCAGTGAGCTAGATGCAAAGCACGGAGTTGAATCCAAAGGTGCCCTTCCATTGCAGAAGATGGTATCTTTGGATCCAATCCCGTGGTTTGGATCCAACTCCATATCTCTCGCAATATCGATGTCCCCTTTCTAAAAAATAATGATCAGACAAGAGTACAAAGCCCTAACAACTCTCTCAGATATATTGCATAATGATGACTTCACAAACACTGAAAACACTGCAAAACAAAGCCAAGGGCCGAGTTCAGACTGGCAGTCTGCCCCGATATAGGCGCATGTGAGGAACGTTTCACAAACGGATTAAAGGGGCCATTCACACAGGCACATCTGTCCAGCGTTCCCCACCCGTACTCAACCCGTCTTGTAGCGCTTGCCTCCCGGGTTTAAAAGATACCTGGTGAAAGTGGTAGCAAACCCTGGAGAGCCCATTTATCCCGCTTCATTCCACTTCCCGGAAGTGTGAACGCTAACCGCTAAAAGCCAGGAACAGCCCGTGTTAATAATGTGCACCGGCTGTTTATGCTGATTGACCTCCTAGCTTCACTCTGGCACCAGGAAGGTGCAGGTGATTGCCTTGAAGAGGAGGTAGTGATGTGGCCGGATGTGCCTATGGCCCATAGCGGCCGGATCCTGCCCTATTTGCCGCTGCGCCTAGGCGCCCATGTGCCTAGGCATCTGCTGCAAGGAAAACACTGCTTACAGCTGCACCCCCGGGCCAACAGTGTGAACGCTCCCCTCACGCCTCCTCCCGGTATACTCCCGCATCAGTCCACGCAGTGTGACTGGGTAAACCCAGAACAGTTTGTTCCGGCTCTTTTTTGCAACGACCGAACTCGGCCAAGGACTGGGGACTGTACAACATGATCCATTCATTTTTTTATTTTTATTTGACCCTTAGACACAACAGCACTTCCTCTTCTTGTTAACTCTTATACCTTCCCCAGTTTTTCTGAAGAGCACCTAGCCCGACTGTTGACTCCCTATGCAAAATTACCTTAATTTTCAAAGCATGCAGCAGCAATCCATTTTCCACTATAGTCTCTGGGTCATGACAATTTACCGCAGAATATTATTTGAATAGGATTTCAGAAGAAGACTGATCGTCTTCTTGCTTTAGAGAGAGCTTCTTCTCATGAAATCCTGCATCATTTATCAAAAAATCCTTCTAAGGCAGCAGTCCTGTTGCTACAGAAAAACAACCTCACCGAGAAAAGACTATATTTAGGAGTAAAAAAAAAAATGTGTGAAAAGAGCACTATGAATTAATCAGGCTCCCAAATTCTATTGAGAGGGTGTGTGCAGGATGCTCTTTCTACCCCTCGCCCCTAAACGTACTTTGGTATTCCACTTCCAAAAATAACTAGAATTTTTTTTAAAAAAAAACAACCTGGTCCGTGAAAGAGTCTGCATCCAGTATTTGTGCTTCAAACCAAAGATATTAGTAGCAATGTAACAAGACAGTGTTAACACAGAGAACACATTTAAAGCACAGCACATGCAAAAAAGCTGAAAGGTTTTTTTTGTACAGGATGCTATGTGAACAATCATTTGGGCAAACATCTGGATTTGCCCGAGGCATCTTTCTTGAAAGTACTGATTCTTATCCTAGAAAATCTAGGTCTATAAGCTGAGGAGAATTTAAAAGGTGGCATTTTTCACCAGACTGATGCAGTCACCTAACTCAGTTGCATGCTCTACACTGCATGTGAGAGGCAAACAAAACATATATATATATATTGCTTTAAGTAAGGTTTCTTAGCAATTATGCTTCTTGAGAATCCCATCAAACGCATACAGTTGATTCTTCTCTCAACTATGGCTAGATTTCAAAGTATTGTTCTCTATTTGGAATGATAAGTAAGAAAAAAAAAATTCAGTACAAAAGACATCCCTCTGTCCTTCTAATCACAAAACTACCTAGTCTTTGAACGTCTTCACAAAGGAATTATATGAACACTTCTTCTCTTTAGATAAGCCATGTGTACACTGTCGCACAAGGAGTCTACATGCTTGTATTGCTACGTGTACCTGTGGTAACTTTCTGTGGCTTCCCAAAACTTGCCAGATGTGGCAAAACAGGCACACGTGCTTGTCACACATAATGCTGTGGACATCGTTTGCACACAGTGTTCTTAGATGAAGTTGTATCTGTGTAGGATATCATCCTTTCTGGATGATTCAGAGATTCCCGTCTATTCTTTGTGGAACAGTTCTAATGTAAATTCACAGAGGCTACGATCCAAAAACTTTCGTAACTAGTTTTGCTTTCCTCAGAAAGCTTTGGGCTACTCAACACTGTGCTTTCCCCCTTTGCCATGTGGCAAAACAAAACCCAGAAGCCTTTTTGAGGGAGAGGGGCCATGGCTCAGTGGTAGAGCATCTGCTTGGCATGCAGAAGGTCCCAAGTTCAATCCCCAGTATCTCCAGGTGGTTGGTGATCTGACAGACTTCTGCCTGAGACCCTGGAGACCTGCTGCCAGTCTTAGACAATAATGACAAATGCCTTAAAAATCAGTGCCTTAAAATCACCTGAAATGTTCCTGTTTCTGTAACAATTTAACTACCTAAACCTGCAATGCAAAAGAAAGGGAAACAACAGGAAGGGGGAAATACCTGAAGTTGTATTTTAGCATCTTTGCTGACACTTTTTGTTCGCCATCTTCTTGTGACACGCTTGTCTTTCTTTGAAATATCTACACAGTTAGCCTATGTCACAAAATAGTTAAAAGCAACAAAGCGTTGTGTTAAGGCTTGCATTAACTGACGCGGACAATAAGAGCAAGTTAGTAATTAGAATCTTAGAAACATTTTTGACAAGTTAAAGAGTGTGGTAAAAATGTTAGCCTTCGTTCCACAAACACAGATAACAAGGTGCCCATTTAAGACAATCAGAGACAGACAAACTTACAGTCCTACAGCCATGTATCTAGGCATTTTCCAACTAACATTTATCTACATAACCAACAGCCTCCTCCCCTAAGAGCGTCTCATTGAGATTCTTGTTGAAGGCTTGAGTCATGTGCCACCATCTGTGAGGTAACGCAAGGGAACCACTAGAGAAAAGACCTTGTGTGTTGTGACTTTTCAGTTGTGGAATTCCCTTCCTACAACAGTTCATTTGCTGACAATCATGCATACCCAGCCGTCCACTGACTTTTTGGAGGGGAGGTTTTCTACTCCCCCCGCCCCGCTGGAGCTCACTGAATTCCCTGAAATTTTGGTCATGAGGGTCAGTGGACCCTCAGGAACAACGTAATGGCCAAAGTGGGGGCCTGCAGTGGGAAGAGACAATTGCTGTAAATGTGTTCCCCTTCTTCTGCAAATGGAAATACCATTCCACTGCAGGAACTGTGGGGCTGGATAAATGCCAGTGTTGGTGCCAAGTTAAGATCCATTTATTTAGGCCTTTCATAGTTCATGAGTTTCCCAGGAGATCTTCCCTCTGCTCTCTCTGCCGTTTTGAGTTTATTTAGCATATAATCATATTGATTATCTGTTTTTACAACCATTCTACTCCTATTTTTTTAGGATTGTTTTTTTTTTTTACTGCGAGTTATTACGCTATCATTTTGTTTATCTTCGTGCTCTTCTTAAAATTATATATGTTGCTGTTTTATTGATTGCTGGTTTTTAAGAACGCTCTGCTGCTATTTTTGCATTAAGGTTTTTTAAAGAACCATTTTATGTTATTATATTTCTTAACGTCCTATATTGTTCATCTCTGATGCTTTATCGTGAAGACTATTTTATGCTCTATTTTAAACCATTTTAGGCTGTGATTATTATGTTAACTGTAGTTTAGATGCTTATTTCAGTAATTTTAACTAAGTGTTGTGAGTAAAGTCCAGGGTGGGGCTGTGGTT